GCTCATTTGCTTCCATTGATTCCACCACTGTAGGAGCCCAAGTTTGACATCTATTTATGAGACTCTCAAATTCCTTACCTTTGTCCGACCAAACTTTAGCCAATCTAAAGAACGTCTCTTTCACCACACTCGTTATTGGGAGATGGCGTGTACCTTTTAGTACCGAATTAATGGTCTCAGCAAGGTTTGTGGTCATATGTCCATATCTCCGACCTTCATCGTATGCTTGCGACCATTTTTCACGCGGTATTTTTGAAGCCCACTTCCAAATTCGCTGATCATCGTAAAATACCTTTAAATTCTCCAATCTCTTATCAAAATTTGGTCGACGTAGTTCGTATCCTATTCCATAATATATTTTGTTAAACCACAATTAAAAAACCCACGTAAAAAATGCACAAATATTGTAAATAAAACTTACCCATGCTGACTATCTCGCTACGAATATGTACGTTATGAAACTGGTCGATACTATTCTTGCCAATATGACGGATACAAAATGTCGGATATGCATACGGAGGTATCCAACAACTTCCTGGTCGTTCAATTGCCGCCAAAATACCCGTTCCTCTATCGGATATCAAGCAAAATCCATCTTCTCGAACGACATATTGACATAGATTGGTCAGAAAGAAATCCCAAGCCTCTGTTGTCTCTCCCTCAACAATGGCGAATGCAATTGGGAAGATATATCGCTCACCATCTTCAGCAACTGCCATCAAAAGTACATGCCTATATTGACCATACAGCCACATACCATCTACTTGGATCATACGTTTGCAAAATGGAAATCCTTCAATACATGCCTTAAATGCCCAAAATAGTCTATAAAATATTTTCTTCCCTCGCAGAAGTTGACCTTCTTCGTCATATGCGGGCATGGTTTGAGACTTCACTATGGTTCCTGGGATAAATCACTTCATTGCTTGTAGCAAATGTGGTAGCTCATTGTACGATGTATCCCAATCTCCATACGTCAGCTTCATTGCCTTCATCTTCGCATTCCACACCTTGCCATATTTTACTTGATATCCAAATTGGCTTCGAATAGATGCAGCTAACACTGAACAAGATATCCTTGGATTCTTTTCAACCATCGCCTTCACGTATTCACATATTACATCGGAGTCCAATAGTCAGTGGTCTTGTTCGATGGAGTTTCGCAAACATGTGTGCGGACCATTGTACCTCGTGATGACCCAAACATCGTGCCTTTGATTTTTCGACACTCTGATCTTCCACTTGCACTCTGGGCCATATTTTACACACTTCGCGTATAGGGTTTTCTGGTTAGACTCTGCAACATAGACATCAACATGGCATTTGATGCAGTACTCTTTAATCGCCAGCGTAGCTTCATTTTTTCCTCTGAATTGCACCCCAACTGAAAATTCACCAGAATTATCGAATGATTCAGTCATTTGGTATGGAGGTAAATGTGGCATATCTGGGAATTCAGGTGCCCTCATCGCATCATAGTCTATCTCGTACATGTGAGGAGTAGCTTCATACGGTGCCGGAACTTCATCAATTGCGCCTCCACCAAAAATATTTTCGTCGTCGCCCAAAACGGGTTCTTCGGTTTCTTCATCTTCGCTTGAATCATCGTGAATTTCTCCACATCGATTTTCAGCGTCAATATCAACAACCAATTTCGGTATGTTTCTCGTCTCATACTCTGCTGTTGCAGATGTCCCCCCGACTTCATTTACACTTTCTAATAGTGCCATAAAACTATTCGGAAACCTGTATTTCGGCTCCTCAAACTGACTATATAAAGCCATTTCAAATGGATTTTGAGCCACACCTCTTGATGACCCAGGAACATCACATATGTTACGCACATCAACAAATAACTCAATAACTGCTATATTGGTTGACTCGTGTAATCCAACCATAGTTCCAATATCATCATCTTCTTCAAGTGGAACTGCAGCATATCTGACTGGGTTGGGGCATATCATAAACCTATACCTCAAATCATCAACTGCAGCTCGAATTTTTCTTTCTATCTTATGCTTCATTTCTATAAATGTGATGTCTTTTTTGAACATCATATTTATTGGTTTTTCAGACTGAAAAACTACTCCGACCTCATTTTCCATAATCTGTCCATTATAATGGACAATCGTGAAAAAGTTATTGCTCATTTTTTCTACAAATAAAAAAATAAATTAATTTAGATTAAAATATTAGATAAGATAATTTCATAAAACATTAAATCATTAAATATAATATAATATACTATTATATTAATGATCAAATAAAATTTGTTATTTAACTTGATTAATTGATTGATTACTAATATTATTAATAATGATTTAATAATTATTATTAATCTAATGAATTGATATTTAATGATTTAATAATAATATGATTTAGTCATGATTACTAATAATTATTTATTATAAATATTTAATGATTTAGATTTGATACTAATCATTTAGTAATTATTACTAATAATCATGATTAGTTTGATAATATTTTTTATTTTTTAAAAATATTAAACAAATTTGTTAGGCAAAATATCGTGATAATGCGTTGGCCGGATTATTTCATTTAATTAATTTTTACTCCTTACTAATTTACACATACAATATAAATAAAACAAAATATATTTTTTTAAACAACACTAAATATTTTTAAACACAATATTTTTTTAAAACAAAAATTATCTCGCACAAATTAGTTTATATTATCTAATATAAACTTACTATCTAACTAATTTACACATACACAACAACAAAAAATAATAAATTACTCACGTATTTATGCCTTCCTCCTTTCCTTTCTTTTCCTTCTTTGTTTCTTTATTCGAATCAATTTCAACATGGGCAAATGTTGTGGAATAATGACCTGTATGTGTAAACCGTTAATTTATTTAAATAGCAATAGCTCCCACAAATTAATTTTATATAATCTAATATATTATAATATAACTTAAACTAATAAACTATTTCTTTATTATAATATAACTTAGTTAAAATAACACACTAATTAAGCACTAATTAATTTTTTTATAATATAACTTCAACTTCAATGAACAATCTAATATATGTTTAAAGACACTAACAAATTAATTAATATTTTTTTATATTTAATAACTTAAACTAATTAACTAATTAACTAATTTTTTTATATAATATAATATATAACTTAAACTAATAAACTAATAATTTATACTAACAAACTAATTAACTAGATTTTAGTTTTACCCTAAACCCTAAACTAACAAACTAATAATTTCATATAATAAACTAAATTAAACAATAAAAAATTACCTCACAAACTATGTTTGATCCTTTATCTTATTTTCTTCTTCTTCCTTTTCTTTCTCTCGGCAAAGTTTATATGTGATTATGCTTATGCTCCTGATTCTGCTTCTGCTTCTACTTCTACCCTAAACCCCATATCATTTATATAAAGCAAAAAATCGTTGTACAGAGTCATTAAAATTTGACTATTGAATAAAATAATATTAGGATTGAATCGTATAACTATTGAGCATTGAAAGTCTTCAATTGAACAACAATATTTGCTGCATTTAACAACTAAATTAACGCTGCAATCATACAGCTATGGATGCAACGCATGCAGCTACGGATGCATGAATCTCCCAGCTAGCTATGGATGCAACGCATGCATGAGTGATAGGGTTAAAGCTTGGTCACGATGCAGGAATCTCCCAGCTATGGATGCATGATGATACAGACCTACCATGTCGACCTACCATGTCGTCGGGACTCCATGGCGACCTACCATTCTACCATGTCACCGGGACTCCATGGCGACCTACCATGTCGCCGGCCATGGCAACCTACGATAGAACCGATCCTTGGTCGCCCCGAGTGCCCCATGCATGAACCGATCCTTGGTCATCCTTGGTGTATGGCCCATGCAGAGGTTTGCCGAGATCAGACCACGTGAACAAAGCGCAGCGCGACCTATCCCATGCCTCGTGCATGGCCCATGCATAGCACCAAAGCAGCATCAGCGGGCAACAACGAGCAAAGAATGTTGGACGTCGGGCGTGCATGGCGACATATAAGGACGTCGGGCGTGCATGGCGACCTATGCTGTCACTGTAGAATTTACCCCATTTGAGCAATTAATCTGGTCAGTGCATCATCTCGTAAAATATTTTTTTTTTGAATGCATTATGTCGTGAGTTTTGCCCATATATAACCACTGCACTTTCTTCTTCTTATTAATTGTCACAGAGTAGTAGTTCTTTTTTTTTTTGTTGATAAAATTATCACAAAGTAGTAGTGTTAATAATGTTAACAAAAAAAGAGTAATATTAATATTTTATATATCACAAAGTAGTAGCTTTTATGAAATTATTGGTCGGCAGAAGGAACTAAATGGTCCTGTTACGACGACTGATACACTTTCGAAAAGCAACTATATACTCCTCTAAAATGAAATATTAATAATAATGAATAAATTAAAGAAAGAGATGAAAAAATGATAATATAATTATTTTTAATAATCTTTTTTATTAAGTTAAAGATGATTATAAAATTATATTTATTTTAAATATTTTTAATCATTTGACAATAAATATTCAATTACTCCTACACTCGTTAATATTCGAACTCATAATTTATAAGAAGAATAACAATTTCTTAAAATACTTCAAGGGAAATGGTGTGGAACGTGGAATAAAATCAATGGATGAGAGCGGGGGAATAGAAGGGAATCCTGTCGGCGAATTTGGTAAAGCAAGATTTCGGAGGGTTTTTGTTGCACAACATGATTCCACGTGTAACCAAATAAAAAAAAATGGGGGGTTCCTACTTCCTATGTAACAAAAAAACATTTTTTTTGGGGGTTCCTGTAAATGGTGTACTCCCATATTCCTAATGGGGTATTGGGTCCTCATTTGCCCCAAGAATATGTGGATATAGCCTTTAGCTGCTAGGTTAAATCAATCAAAATAGAAAGATCATTAAACGCGCACCACCAAAAGCAGAGAGAGATGGATGAGAAGAATAAAGCATTGAATTCCAGCAGGTTCAAAAGAGTCTGTGTCTTTTGTGGAAGCAGCTCCGGCAAGAGAAACTGCTATCGCGATGCCGCGCTGGAGCTGGGACAAGAACTGGTACTCTACTCTTTCCTCGTATCAATGCATTCCTCTGCTCTAATAACTATCGTCTAATCTCGATTCCATGGGTTTTCGATTCATTCTCAAGTTGTCCCGCAAGTTGGATCTTGTTTACGGAGGAGGAAGCGTCGGGTTAATGGGTTTGGTTTCTCAGGCCGTCCACCGCGGAGGAGGCCATGTTTTAGGGTACCAATATATATTCCTTGTTGGGATTTGTTTTATGCATTTTATACACTGCTTGCTCATTTTCTTTGTTTTCTTCTACAGAATTATCCCCAAAACACTGATGTGCGAAGAGGTCTAAAACAATCTGTTCACTCTTAATTTGCGTCTGGTTTTTCGTATTTCTTAACGTTGAGTCCCTTTTCAAAATCATGCTTTTGTTTTTGATTAAGCAGATAACAGGGGAAACAGTAGGAGAGGTCAAAGCTGTAGCGAACATGCACCAAAGGAAAGCTGAAATGGCCCGCCATTCTGACTGTTTTATCGCCCTACCAGGTCCTTTTCAAGTTTCATATGGATAAGTAATTAATTTACTTAATTCTTGTTTATTTTCAATTAAATTTAATTAAACACAGGTGGATATGGAACCCTTGAAGAGTTACTAGAAGTCATAACATGGGCCCAGCTTGGAATCCACGACAAGCCTGTAAACCCATTTCATCATGATGAATCAATCTACTGGTTTCCGGCAACTATTTCTCCTACATTCTTAACTCGTTTTTCTTCTTCTTCATGTAACGAGAACAGGTTGGCTTGATTAATGTGGATGGCTACTATAATCATTTGCTCACCTTCTTAGACAAAGCCGTGGATGATGGCTTCATTAAACCATCCCAACGTAGTATCATTGTTTCTGCTCCAACTGCAGGAGAACTTGTCCAAAAACTTGAGGTATCAGAAGTCAATTATCGGCTTCGTTTTATCAGCAAGTAATGCATATTTATTTTATTGAATTATTGTGCGTTCTTTAAACTTAGGAGAGTGTTTTGTTTGAATATATATATAGGAATACGTGCCAATGCATGATGTAGTTGTTGCTAAGGCAAGGTGGGAAGCAGAACAATTGGAGCTCAATTCATCTTTGCAAACTGAAATTTATCGTTAACTCGAGAAAGATGACAAAGGGTCTCCTTTTAATTCCTTTCTCTCTTTAACATTTAGCAAATGTAAGTAAGCAACTAGCTAGGGTTTATCCTTTCAATTTTTTTACTGTATTACTGTGTAGGATGGAAAGGAGAAAATCCATGGGATGAAAAATAAATTAATCAAAATTGTTAATTTATGTGCATGGTTGTTATTTGTTTACTTTTCCTCCTTGTGACGGATCAAAATGGCAAGTGGCTGGCTGTTTGGTAATTTTCACTAACATTTGTTTCCTTTGTAAAAGTTTCCAGGAAAAAGAACACCACGGTGGTGTTTTGGTGTTTGTTTTTGCAGAGGTAAAAAGTCTGCAGTCTACGGACCACATCTGCAGGCATCTGTAACAGAAGAAGTGGACCAAAAGTCTGCAGTCTACAAGAAGAAGACTGTTTGTATTTTAACGTCTGCAGACTGCTAAAGTAAATTGAAATATAAATAAACTGATTTTTTAAACTTAAAAGAGTTTTGCAATACTAAGATTTAAATAATTTTAGTTTTACAATACTGAAATTTAAATAATTCATACAACTACAATAATAAATTTTTTAGAAAAACAAACACCACCTTATTAATTCTATTATAAGTCTCACATAATCACATGTATTATTAGTTTTATAAGTTTTATAGAATAAAATTTATAAATGATCATTAAATTATATGATTTTTTTAAATATGCAATTATGTAATACTTTTATTTTTTTTAAATATATATTCATAATTTATTTTTATAGTTATATGATATTTTTAGAAAATATTTTTTAATTTATAAAATTATTTTATGATTATTTTTTATTTAATTGTTATTATATTTTAAAATTTTAAAAACATAATTTATAATTTTTTATATTTTAAAATCTTAATTATCAAACAATGAAATCATTTCTTATTAAGCAATGTGGTTTAAATACTTACATTTTGTATAAAAAGTTTAAATATAATTTAAAAATAATAAAATCCAAAAAATATTTAAACTTAAATCAAAATAATTAAAATAAATAAAATTTTAATAATATATAAAATAATTTATATGATATAAAATTAAATATCTATATAATATTAAAAATGAATATTTAATTTATTTAAAAAATAATATAAAATTATATCTATAATATAATATTAAAAAAATAATATTTAATTTATTTAAAAAATTAATATTAAAATTAAAATCAAATATAATATAAAATTAAATATAAAATCTCTTTGAAGAGATTAGAAGACGTCTGCAGACATAAGACTACGTCTGCGATGCGCAGACCACGCGCAGACGTTAGAAGAACTTTTGTCTTCTAAAAAGCAAACGGTCCGTGAAACTCATTGTCTGCGTGTGGTCTGCACGGCACAAACATAAGAGCTTTACAAACCTTACACAGTAAAAACAAATACTACCCAAGGAAAAACCAAAAAATAATTGTGATGAGTTCCCTGAAGTTTTCTAAACCGAATCATGGCTTGGCGGCTTAACAATCCGCGAAAGGCCAAGTCGAATACGCCCTCTTAGGAATAATATGATTTATGTAGCAAAATATATATTATTATAAAATGTAGGACTTAATATTGAATCATAATACCCTAAAGATTTTGAATCATAATATCCTAAAAATATTGATGTGTAATATTAGTAAATAAATATTTTAAATTTATATAAATATTTTATAATATATTATGCAATATGCATGGCTATTTTAATTAAAATATTAAATACTCCATTTTAAAAAATATGTTTTAACAATATTATTAATAATTGATTTATTAATCAATCGATTTAGATAGCACCTTATAAGAATTTATTATAAGAATAGTCTCTAAATAACTTTAAAATTTATACCTCTATGTGAATATAATTAAGATATATATATATATATATATATATATATATAAAGAATTTAATAAATCTAAAGTGATACATAGAACTTAGCAGTATATGGTTTGTTGCAATTGAGTAACCCTCCTTATCCCAACTATGGCCAATCTAACAAGAAGTCAAGAAGCAATGGAAGTCATCTACTGGCAGTACCCCTCTTTTACGCGTAAACTTTTTTGCATGTCAGATTTATTTATTTGATCCGTCTTTATCAACCTTTTGCTTCCATCTTCACTTTCTCCACTCAAATTGCCTTACAATTTCAGCTTCCAAAATTTGTTCCCATAATCTTTTTGGATCCAAATGGTAATATAATCTTTTTAGCAGCGTATGATACGACAGAGATTGCTTGTTTTGCAGAAGGAATGTCTCGTGGGAGGATATCCAGCTAATCAATGGTATCCCCACCCCACCAGATAAGCTTGACTCATCAGCATTTAATCCACGGCCCCAGTTCAATGCATGCACTAGGGATCTCCAGATACAATGTCTTTACACCCAGAAAAATGAATTAAAGGGATAAATGCCAAAGGAAAGGAGTGGAGACGAAGAGAAAGTTGCATGCAAACACCAATGCATTCTCCCTCCTCCACACCACTGAAAATAACCCGACCCAATAAAATGATGGATCTTTTTCAATAGGCACTGTGGGGAGAGTTTTGAGATTCCATAATGAGACTGTGGTCCTTCTGGACCCAATCCACTTGCAAGTTGTTGTTTGAGCCCCTACATAATTAAAGACGTTTTTCTATTTTTCTACGTTTAAAGAAACACAGTGTTCAAAGGTTTAAAGAAAATAAAAGCCACTTCAGTATTTGCCAAGGGTCAAACTCAAACAATGTCAATTATTGCCCATTATGGTCCCTTTTTTTTTCCTTTTCCTGAAATTTTGGGACGGTTGGTCCAAACTCATAATAATCCCATTGCCAAGGGCCTAATGTTATAGTTGACGAGGATTGCCGACAAGCACAGAGTCTATATGGTAATAACGACAATGGCAGTCCAGAGGTTAGACTTTAGAGTCACGTTATGGGGAAGCTGTTGCAATAGAAAAGATGTAATTGAAAACTAAAATTGGCTTTATACGTGCAGTCTGCAACTTGATCAAACTCCAGTTACTATTTGGATCAATTATAGGCACTAGTTTCTGGACAATCGCAAAAGCAGATATTGTGCTTCACCTTCTTGCGTGGTAGCTTTGCAGAAGAACAATAAGGGAGGGGTTTATTATATCATATCATCCGTACATGAGATTGTTGATGCTCTTCTGGATCGAGATGTTTGAAAGGATACAGGAAAAACAAGGTTTAGTTCGAGTGTCAAAAGCTTGTGAGTAGGATATGAGAAAAATGGTTAGTCAAGGGTGAAAACCTATGGTAAAATGTTAGATATGATGATGAAACCTACTTGTGAGGCATTTATACTACTATAAGAATGCTTGGGGACTGCCCAATTAGTCTGATCGGTATGCTCAACTCATAGGTAGGAACAAATATCTGATTGAGTCAAAAATTTTAAAGTCAGTTAAATTGACGAGTCTTATTTTATAATTCAAAATTTATTTAAAAAACTTTCGAGTCAAGCTGGTCGAATTTAAATAATCTTTTATACAGGGACGAACGCAGGAATTTGTGTTGTCAGGGGTGCGAATATAAAAAATTATATTAAAATTTAGGGAGTGCGAGATTATAAAATCTCACGGGGTGCGAAATCAAATAATTCGTATAAAATACAAATAAAATACTTAATATAGAAGGGAATTTAAAATTTCTAGGGGGTGCGACTGCACTCCAGCACCCATCGGTCCATTCCTACTTTTATAACCATGTACGACTGTATATTTCTTCGTATTTTTTATATGATATACACAGGGTTAGGATCCACTTACACAATGTAAAACTATTTTAGCTTTACACGGATTTAGGACCGTTAGATGAGTGAAAATAGACGGTTGAGATTAACTCTTTATTTTTTTTTCCAGTGAATAACTTCTCATTTCGTACTATTAATCTCATTCGACTCTTTTCTCTCATCCAACGTTGTAAAACTAAGAAGTTTTACACTGTATAATTAAAACTTATCACAATATACATACACCATGTAGAGTTGAAGAGATTGGCCCGAACTTGAAAACCAATTTATTAATTATTAAAAATTTTGAGTTATTTGACTCCTAACTTATAACTTAAACTTGATATGATTTTTTTCGATTCAAGTTTATAAAATCAAAAATCTAATCAAATCAAATCGAATATTTTAGTATTTAATCGAGTCAGTAAAATTATTTTTTAAAGTCAAGTCGAATTTTACTCGATCCAATTAACCAATAGTCAGTTTTTGGTCTAATGAATTCATTATACTTGAAGATTGTTTGAGTTGTTGAGGGCTTGAACTATTTTGGGCCGTAATCCGCTTTCTTATAAGGGTAAAAAGATAGGCCGAAATGCCCAGAATCCAGATCCGAGACAAAACCTGTCTAGTAGTGCCACACACATTCCGATAGTGCAAGGAATCTGCACAGCAGGGAAATATAAAGTGAAAACTGTGACCATGTGATTCACACAGGCTAAACGAACCTCGATAATAAAAATAAAACAACAATAACAGCACATTGATGTGGGAAGGATTGACAGCATTTCCTCAATGGAAGCAAACTACAAACCAAGAGTACCAAGCAATTGAACGACTCATTTCAAGACCACAATTAACTCATACGGGTCCCTATGAATGTTACAACCAGTACACACTGTTTCAATCAATGTAGGAGTTAAAAAAAAGGAAAGGAAGTCAAACGGAAGACATGTCCACCAAAAAAAACAGCATCTTCCTATTGCTTGTAATGCTGTCCAGCATTAGCTTTTGTCGCCTGCATTTTGGTTGAATTTAGCTGCTTTGATGCGCGAGATAAGAGACTCCCCGATATTTGATAACCCTTTCCTACCAACCAACTTCACCCCAAAGTTGCGATGTAACAAATTCATCCTGTTCCCATCGCCATTCACTTCACTTAACTGAATGATTTGCTTCCTCGTCATCAAGCCATAAAGGAACAGGTGACCGGAGTCTAATTTATCCCCCCGGAATTTGACCCTTATTAATGCATGAGAACCAATATCATCTGAATGTGGATCATACAAAACTGAGAAACTCCCGAATGTCAGGTCAGGGTTCTCGAACAATTTATTCAAACTATCATGTTTCTCAAAATCATTAGCAACTTTGTCAGTCAGATTCAACGACCTCCTCCTCTCCACTCTAAGCATGTTAGCAGCCTCTCTCATGCCACTTAAAAATGCTCCATGCATTGTGGCTGGATACTGCTTATTAGTTGCCTCACCTGCAAAGAAGACTCGGTCATCTCCAACACTCTCAGCAAGAATATCATAATCATCCCCTGATGAACCAATAGCAACATGAGAGTAGGATCCATACGTGAAGCTATCCTTCCCCCACCGAGTACAAACAGCCTGGACAGGATCTGGAACAACAATCCCTTTCGGATGAAAAATGCCACGCAATATGTTTAAAACCCTTTTCACAGACTCAACAGGATTCATCAGTTCAAACTTGATCGCTGCATCTCCGGCAACAAGAGCAACAAGGAGTGGCCCACCTGACACGGAAGAATAGCTATAAAACAAAAAGAACTCGCCTCTCATACTTGGGTCTTCTGTCAGGTGGCCAAAAGTATCAATCTCTCCACCCCAAAAACTGTATGGAAACAACATAGCAACCTTATTCAGCAAACCAAATCCCAGTCTCTGAATAGCATCCTTTTTCCTTTGCGGAAGCTCGGGAACAAATTCTATCGACCCCTTCTTGAGAACTCCTAATGGAACAGTGCAAAGAGCCATGTCCCCACAAAACTCCTGCCCACCGGCATAAACCCTAACACCATCAATACCATACCTGATACTCTGCACCGTCCTACCATAGAAAATGGGAAGGTCCTCCGCAAGTGCTCGAACAAACCTCTCATTGCCACCAGGTATAAAGCAATGATCACCACCCATCTCATACGGATCATCTTGATCCCAGTAGGCCATAGACAAATTAGCCATCAAGGAAGCATTAGCATATTCTAGGTTAGCAAGATGCCAATTCAACAACATACTCTCCTGCGAATCCTCAGCAACCTTGTAAACATTCCTAAAGGCTTCTAGTGCTGTCCCTAATGGAACATCAACTGAGTTAACTTCCTCAATCATGGAATGCCTAAGCTTACAAACCCTATCCAACAGCTGATTAAAAGAAACTTCTATCCTAGAATCAACATCAGCATCTACTGCCTTTCCATCAGGCAAATACAAAGGGCAAATATCTCGAACCTTATGAAGAGGTAACCCCATTTGTCTAGCAAGAACCCCGAGTGGATTTCCATTTATTCCGGTGAGAACACTACCACCAAGATCAGCTGCAGCCATCACCCCATCACCTTTCATCTTCCTTGTCTTCACGCGCCCCCCAGGGCGCGTCCTACCTTCCAAGACGACAACTTTAAACCCCATTGAAACTAATTGTCTCGCCGCGGCCAAACCGGAAAGACCCGCGCCCACAATCACCACATTGGCTCTTTCCACACCATCAAAAGACTTCAATTTCGCTTCTTTAACAGCCGGGGCTAAACCAAAATTAATGTAACCGTGTTCGAGAAGGAAATTGTATGCTGCGTCCACTAGGTTTTTGTGCTCTGCTCGGATTGCTTCAAGGGCGTGCTCACGCGTCAACCAGTCAGATACATTGGATCTCCAGCGAGCCAAAATGTGGTTTCTTACTACGATGTAGTTAGCTTGCTCCTGGCCTCCGATTCTCGACACCACGTTGGCTTCAATTTCCTCTTCAGTAAGAGAATCAACAGGGAAACCGACGGAGATCGCGATTAAAGCTTCAGTGTCCATTTCTTTAGCGATACCCGATGTTCTAGGTCGACGATTCTTCGAGAAGGATGGATTGGCAATGAGTTCAGTAAAGAAACGCTTCCTTCTTCGGCGTCTACGAACAGGTGGACCTGGCTCGGCTGGGTTCGAATTAGTGTTCTGGGGTTGTTCGTCGGGGACGGGGTCGGAGGATTCATCTTGGGTATCCGAAATAGGTGGGTTGAGTGTCGTACTGGGGTTTTCTTGGTCTTCGGGATTGGTGTTTGCCGGTGAAGAATCGTCGTCGGAAACGACATCGTTAGGGTTCTCGGAGGTGTCTAGGGGAGGATCCATTTTCGAATTTTGGGCGTGAAACAATGAAATCGTAAATCGAATCCAAAAAGAGAAGGAAAAAACCCCATAAAGTAAAAAATAAAATAAAGAAACATTGTTTTACGAGTCCAAATCGTGAAATTGGGCCAACCGAATCATAATGGAATATTGATCTATCGAGTCAAGTAAAGCCCATACCTTTAAAATGACTTTATGCAAGTCTCAAGAGTTGCAAGGCAGGCTGATGGTTGAAAGATTTGGGTTCAGCAAAAAGATTGAAGAAGTTGCCATTGGTGGACCTGGTGGAAAACCTTTCTTAGGACAACAGGTAATGTTCTTCAATTCAGTATTAGCAGGCATTGTATTTGATACCTGCATGATCTCATGCCATTTACTACCTTCTGTTGTTGCTTTTCTTCTTTACATAATCTGACTTGCAACCCCGTAGCAGATGTCTTCTCAAAAATACTACTCGATGGCAATTGCTGATGTGGTGGATGGTGAGGTAAGGGATCTAGTAGAGACCGCATATTCAAGGGCAAAGCAGATCATCACAGCCCACATTGACAACCTCCACAAACTTGCTCAACTGCTGATAGAGAAAGAAACTGTTGATGGGAAAGAGTTTATGAGCCTCTTCATTGATGGCAAAGCTTAGCTATACGTTTCTTAGATATAGATCGCCTCAATCGAGTCTTTGTGCGAGTATTACTATCAATTCAAATCCCATACATTTCTTGTGATTAAACAAAGTCGATGAGGCCGCCTGCAAGGCAACAAAGATTTCCACATAATAGTTGGTGTCGATACCATGTGGCACCATTTCGTTCATGTTTTCTTACTGTCGCTTGTGGCTAACCAATGAGCTATATTTCTTACTTTTAAAATCCTGGTGCCTGACTAGAGGTTGATTTGAGGGTTAGGTTGCTTGTTTTTAGTGTTTTTCTAGGCAACATTTCCACCTGGGCAAAAAGAGACTATGATGACTGATGAGCAAGCAAAATTGATTATTTCATTAAGATAGCAGCAAAAGAAAAGAAAGAGGTGATGACATTGCCAAATGGAAGTACCAGTGGGAAATACAAGTGCCTCTCCTCCCTCCCTGGATAAATAGAACATGCCACATTTGGACGGAGATCACAATTTCGACTTTCTACTATACATGAATTTCACATGTTTGGTTACAACAACCATCATAAGAGCTGATTTCAGCCCCATTACAAACGAATTTTACAGCTCCACAACTTAGACTTCTCAAGATCATTTCCTGCCCCGTTGCCTTTTCTCTTCTAGAGCAGCAGCTTCATTCAACATGTCAGCCGCATCCTTGTGCATTTCTAGCTTGGCAAGGGCAACAGCTTGCATGTAAAATGCTGTCGACCAGTCTGGGTAGACACATTGTGCTTGCATTGCATCTCGGAGAGCAGCATCTGGCTGATCACAGAGAAGATGGCATAGACTTCTCCGTGCATACACAGTTGGAGAAACCATGGTTCCAACATCTATGAACTGCAAATAAATTGGGATGATTATTCAGCCATTAATGCATAAAAACACAAAACTTCTTTTTTACTCCCTTGGTTGATTATCTGTATGCAGAATTCTATCCATCTTAACCTGTGTTTGGATCCTCTATGAAGAATTGCACCACTTGGTTCCCCGGGACCACATTCGATATATAAAACATTAAAAATAGGCACCTAGAGTTCTTGAGCTGCCAAAGTGTTCCAACGCATGAACATGTGAAAAAGTAAGAATCTCAGATTTCCAATTTGCTTACTATATTTAATTGCTTGGCTTAGTATCAAAAGCCTCATTAATCTATTGAGCCAAAAATCCTCAAGGTACAGCTGATAAAATACCAGAATCACCATTAAGTTGATGAATTAGATCAGTAGGTCCTAGGCACTTTGAGGACCATATAGTTGTTGTGCATAAATGACATCTCTTTTTTCCAGTACGAGATGGAATGTGTACCTGAGAATAGCATTCTATAGCGGTTCTAAAATCTTTGTCACGAAATGCCACATCTCCATGCTTTCTTGCCTCCAACATATCTCTCATTTGTTGAGTCCATTCTTGAAAGGATAGCTGAAACCAGTCCATATCGAATGCGATTTAGCACCACAAGATTGATAGGCATTCACAAACTGATATTTCTAAAACCCAATTACCTCATTTGTTCCTTCATCATCTTTGTAATGTGTCATTACCAAAATTTGATGGATAGCAGTCAGATCCATCCTTGAACAGGCATCGCCCATTGGAGACAGAGGCTGCAGAGGAGGAGACGGAGGTTGCTGAAGAGGAGGCCCATCCTCCTGCTTGGAAATTCCCAACATCACATAAGATGGAACCTGCAAATGAGACTCAAGATCCTTAGTCTGGCAAAATACAAATTTCATTGAACATAACTTCAAATGCAAATGCAATGGAGGAAATTTGGATAAAGAATGGAGTATGAAAGACAGCTCACATCAGATTTATTTTGCAAAGGGGAAACTGTATCCACAAGATCTTTCGTACTAGGCCGCTCCCTTGGTTCATATTGCAAACATCGTGAGGCGAGATCAAAGACCACTGTCGCCTCTTCAGTTGAAAAGTTTCCCTCTAGATGAGAATCCATTAAAAGAAGAATATTTTTTCCCCGTATCATATCAAGGGCCTGCATACAGATAGAGCAATACTCCTAAAGTTACAACTTTGGATCAAAAAGGGGTTGGAGATAAAGACAGGAAAAATCAAGTGAAAAGAAACTATATTTTTATCCTTCATTTCTCATGAATCTTCAAATATAAAGGTGAAGTCATCAGATCGGAGAGTTAATGATGTATTATATAAAAAAAAACTAAATGTGTCTATAGCTCTAATCTTGCAATCGCTAGAAACCAGAAATCCTAGGGACCCAAAAATCAAACACTTACAAATAAGACCCCTATCTAGATGACTATTCAATTTTCCCTTGGCCATCCCACATTAGGTTAAACTACCACAACAGTATACATCTGTGAAGATGGAATCACTTCATTACATATGTAAATGTACATTGCAACTCTACAAGCTAAGAAAGAATACTAATAGACCAATTACTTACATGGCTTGGGGGAATGTGCTTTCCGCTGAGTAGATCTAAAAGGACAGTTCCAAAGCTGAATATAACACTTTCAGGAGTGACCCTTCCTAGAACAAAGATGTTAGTAAGTTAATCAATCAAATCAGAATCAATCATTAAAATCAGAAATGATTATCAGACAACTAATTCCTAGCAAAATTACCCGTCCTAGAAACTTCAAACTTAAACAACAAAAAGTGTTACCGTTTCTTAGATACTCTGGAGGTGTATACGCAAGATTGGTACTATAACTTTTTCCGTCCCTACTGTTCTTCATCAAGCCAAAACATGAAAGTCGAGGATCACCATTCTGCCAAAACCAATAACAAGATTACCGATTCACTCAATTAAAGATCGTAACTGATACCAATACAAGAAAAAAATATATTTGTTGTCGCACCTCATCAAAGAGAACCCTATATGCATTCAGATCATGGTACAGTGGACGACCTTCACTACTACAATATTCTAACGCTTCAGCTATATATAAAGCAACTCGCAATCGCATGGCCCACTCAATAGTCTGGTTCTCCCCTGTCAAAAAGAACTGAAGTTATCTCAAACCCAAAAATGAAAACATCAAAAAAGGAAAGAGTAGACCAAAGATTATGTTTCCACTGGACAACATGACCAAACAATATGATGGCATTCACATCACTTGAAAAAGAAAAGGAGTAGAGATAATATTATGCAGGATCTAACTGACTGAGAATTAATTAGATGGAAACAAATTCAATGAAACAATCAACAAAAACCAAACACAATAGATCAGAAGAAGTAAAAATGCAACTTAAATTTAATAAAATTTTATTTGTATTTGTTCAGTAAAAATAGTAACTAGAGTTGGAAACATACAGTGAAATAAATGCTTTGCAAGGGTATCATTGGGCATGTATTCAGCAACAAGCAATCTCTCGTCACCGTCGCAGCAATAGCCAATCAAATTCGCGACTCTCTTATGTCTCAGCTTCCCGACACCCCAAGCTTCATCCTTTAAGGAGAGGCCCAAAAAAGAAAAAGAAGAAGAAGGAAGAAATGAAACCCTACAATATGAATTATGAGCTGATGAAAAATAAGAACAAAAAACGTACGGCGAATTGTTTCGGATCGGGCCAGGCTAACTTGGAGAATTTTTTGACGGCGATCCACCGGCGATTACTGTCGTTTTGGAGGCGGCCTTTATAGACCACATTGGGAGCCTTTTCGCCGCTTTCGGAGACGATGAAATCGGAGCTGAAGTTGTTGGTAGCAGCCTTAAGCTCAGCAATAGAGAACTCCGAGAACCGAAGGAATCCTACGGCGACAGCGGCAAGTGAATCTGTTCCGGGGGAGGGTTGGGCAGGACCGTTACTGGCCTGAGGGAGACCGTTGTTGTTGGCGTTGGAGTTGTGATTGGTTTTTTGGTCCGAGTCGCGTCGTCTAAGAAAGGAAGACTCGCAGCAGCCCATAACTCAGAGGGTGAGTTGATTTGAAAGTTCAATATATAACCACAAGGATTCCTCTTATTCTCCTTCTTTGTTGCTTGCTAAATAAAACGAAGAAGAATAAGAAGCTTAGGGGTTTTGGGAGATTAGAGGGAAACGGGGAGCTCGTGTGGATCTAAAGAGTGAGAAAGCAACGGCAGCTTTCTCATTTGCTTTCTACTGCCCGTTTCTTCCTCACTGCAACAACCTTTGTCACTGTGTTCTGATTATTTTATTAGTTTTATTTCTACTAATACTATTCGAACTGTCCCTTTTACGTGCTTCAAGGGGCGGGAGGGTCTCTTTTGTCCTTTTAATCACTACTTGATAACGTCTCTGATCTCTCTCTCCCGCTCGCTCTATTTTGGGCTTCCTCCCTTCCCTTTCCTTTAGGTGGTTTTGATATACCATAGTTTAATATAAAGTTAAAAAAATGTGTTAGATAGATTGGTATCTGAAATGTTATTTTTTATATCAGAAATGTTAATTTTGTTATCTAAAATAAATATTTACGATATTAATATTTCGGGTAAAAAAATAATATTTTAGGTAGTACCGAATATTAATATTTCGGGTAAAAAAAATAACATTTTAAGTAGCGTTCTACTAAAAATATTAAAAAAAATATTCACATTTCCAATAACATATTTTCTTTATCATATGTTAGACTGTCTTTTCTCAGAATAATGTGAACTTTTATTCTTTCAGCAGCTTTTTAAAGGATAAACACGCAACTGGTAATGAACTAATGATAAGGATGCTTTTTTCTTTCAACCAAATCTTGCATGCTCAACCCCAAAATTCAGTACCTTTATCTTTTGGTAAAAAAGACAGACAAACTGAGGGGGGGAAATGCAAACTGACCATGACTTTACAAGTCGGTTCCTTGACTTTCAGCAATGGAAGCGCAATCAGTCGGCTAATAATCAGAATCAGCTGCTTAAAACAGGTTTTCAATCCAACAATTCTTAATAGATATATGAGATGTTCACCAGCAGGGGTCTTGTGGATAATTACCTCCCCTATCCAAAACCATAATGAAAATCTGGGAAGCAATTTTAAAGCTGCCCCTTGCACTTTTCAATGCATTGAGAAAGCTCCTCGTAAGCTTGCCTGGTCTGGGAAGCAAGCTTTTCCATTGCCATGAAATTCTGTTTTAGACCATACTGTAAACTAGCAGAAGCATCACTGGTATCTCTTGGTGGAACAACGGCGGTTTCTTTTCTTGTCCACAGTGTCATCTTTTTCACTCGATCTTGCATCTTTTGCTCCTCTTTTCCAAATCTTTTAGTTTTCTTTCCATTTCCTTGTCAGCAATAATTCTTTGCTGCAGTGTAGGATTATGGTGTTCCAGCACTTGGTTTATGCTCTTCCAAAATCCATGCATAGCTTCAGCCGCCTCTTTCTCCGACAATCTATCCATGACTTCCGACCACTGGTTAAGGATCACAAACACTGGGGGTACTCCGCATTCACTAGAAGAGAAGGACGAAACACCGTCTGCCGCTATTTCCTCCGGTTCATATAGGAGACATCTATGTAGCCAACCATTCAAAGCTTTGACATAGCCCCTCTGAGCTTCAATCCAACTAGAGAAGCTAAGAATCCAGTTTTGAAGCTCAAGCTTTAGTTTCATTGCCACTTCGAGATGAGTGTCTTTAAGATTTTCATTCATGGTAATGACATCCAAACATTTTTCTTCCACAACCTTTTGGTACTGGCAGCTATGCCATTCTAGCATTTCCTTCCACATTCCAAACAATCTAAAACAAGTTAAATGCAGTCAGTCAGCTTTCCAACTTCAGAAAACCAAACAATCTATTGTCACTTCAGAAATGAAAGAAAAGGAAAGACCGAGGTCCGAGAATCATCTAATCACAAGAACTTTTCTTGATTTTCTCCCCAATGAGATTGATTTCCCTAATCCTGACTTTCAACTAACGAACATGTGAAGCTCAAGAGAATCTAAGGCTTCTCTTCAAACTCAAAAGTATCTATTATCAGTCCATTTTCTGTTAGTTATAGTTGACTGCAAACTTATTCCCAGAATACTAACCAGAATCCGCAATATCTACAGTGACTGTAAATGCAAGTCAATCCAAAGCTAATTGTTCTCCTTTTTGTACAACTTTGGTACGTTGAAAAGCTGAACACTGACGTACTCTTTAAGTCTTACTTGTTATACCGCTAAGAGTTGCACAATGTAAAAAACAGAGTAATTTACTAATTTTACTAGAGTTACAATTTACCTGTGAACCAGTTCATTGATCTGTGGTCACAACTCTTCATCCATCAGCTTATTTATGGTAATTGCTATATTGTCAATAACTTGAACTGCAACTCTCATTTTAGTAGATAAGGCCCTAATCGAAGTTCGCATGGAGTCAACCCGGTGAGCATCAGCACCCTTCTGATCCATTCTTTTCATCTGGCTATGCTTCTTTGAATGAATTATACGCAACTTTTCCTCAGCCTTCAAAATATATAACCAAAATGAGACTCGGCATCCTTAAAAACACAACCTTGTGCAGATAAGGCTAAAGATGGAGGAAAATTTAAGTATATTGGACAACAATCCAACATGCTCATCATAATAGTACGTTTCTAAACAGTCTTACTTCAGTACCGAGTTGATTGCAAACAATTCAAGCCTATGGCTAAGGCTTTTTCCAGTAGGTAAGTTTTTATCCATACATATAACAGCCGATTTGGTTGTGTAGATACTCGTTTTTGTTCGAATTTAAAAAATATTATTTATTTATTTATTATTACTATTATTTATTATTATTATTATTATTATTTTATTTTTGTAGGCCCCATATTCAACCCCACCATTCTATTAAATTCCTAAAAATCTGGCTAGTGCAACAAAAATTCAAACGAACGTGGACCTCCCGGGAACGTGCACACCCACCACCTCGCACGTACAGTTCAACTAACCTCACATGTTTGCTTATTTTTCTCTCAAAAATGAGAGTGGGAATGGGGATTAGTGCTTTGCTTATTATTTAAACCAACTTTAAGTTCCAGACAAGGGGGGCTCACATCGCAGAGTACGATGATTACTGGAGGGAACGTGAGTTGCAGGCTAAAGATAATCTGGAAAGAGAGTATAATCTCTAAACCAGGGGAGATCACAAATCATCTGAACGAACGTCGCCGCCACGTTGGCGGGGCTCGGTTCTAACAGCACGACCACAACGAGGCGGTCGTTGACAAGAGTAGAGGCCGCCTGGTTTTCGGTTCTACCCGACAGAAGAAGAGTGGTTTCATTTTATCTTCATCACAAGCTAGAAATGGAGAGGAAGGATCTGAACCGTCTTATGGACCGGGTTATACCCATTGTCGACATTTATGAGTCCAATCCTTTCGATCTTCCACAATTACCAGTTTACCTGTGCCATAAGGACCCCGAGCAATGGTTCTTCTTCATTCCGAGGCAAGAGAGTGAGGCTCGGGGAGGAAGGCCGAAGCGGCTAACGACGACTGGGTACTGGAAATCAACTGGATCTCTTACGTGTGTTTATTCGTCGGACAATCGACCTATCGACGTTAAAAGAACCATGGTTTTCTACAACGGAAGAGCTCCCAACGGTAGAAAAACCGAGTGTAAAATGAATGAATACAAAGCTATTGAAGAAGCAGCTTCGCCTAATGCTTCCACTCCAACTTTAAGGCATGAATTCAACTTGTGCCGGGTATACAAGAAATCAAAATGATTGCGGTCATTCGACAGGAGGTCGCCAGCAGGAGGAATGCAGATTTTTGCTTTTTGTTCGTGAGATTAAAGAAATTTCCAAGTGATTTTGAACTTTGGGAAAATCCTTCCTATGGTCCTTCATTTATTTTACTACTTTTAAAATTTTAATTTTAATTTTAATATTTTAATTTTATTTTATTTTGAGTCGAGTTTTTAAATTTTAATTTTAATTTTTAAATTTTCGCAATTAAGACAACCGATAAATTAATTGGTATCGAAAGGGTAATTCAAGGGTTCTAATCCTTCCTTGATCGTAACCGACTCTCGAGCCCGACATTTTCTAGTAAAACATAGATAAGATAAAATGGTGTATGATCTAATTAAATATCGTTTTAAAATGATCGGTGACTACTAACTCAACTATTTAAGTCAAAATCTAATTTCAGATCCACTCAAAATACGACAGAAAACAAACCAATCTCATAGATTACGTGAAAAGAGAGCAGTTTTGTTATCACTATTATCTAACCATGCATACTAATCATTTGATATATATATATATATATGCTATAAAACATATCAAGTCATTCATCTTTTCAAAACACAATTATAAACTAAAAGAAAAAAGGTGACAAGATAAAGTAAAATTTAAAAGCATCTTGATTCTTGAACCATACCTTGACTTCATCATAGAGCTTCTTCTCCCACATACACAGTTTCCTCAGAGTAGATGAAAGATTCTGTGAACTCAAAACCTCATCATTATCCATAGAATCAATATTCTCTTTTTAGCAGTGAGGTCCCTGTTTCCGATGAATTTGAAGTAAGCATATGAAATATCTTCGCAGAACCTAAATGAACCATTGAATTGAAGAAACCATAAAAAAATATGTAATTGAAATTCCAAACCCACCCGCAATCAGTTTAGAAAAATGATAAAAACTATACCTTGATAAACAGACTTTTTGTGATGATGATGAAATTTCCTAGTGTCGAGCATATCCAAAACTTCATTTCCGGACTCCGAAGCTTTCTCAAACAGGACCTGTAATTCTTTGATTACCTCAGAGACACTTTGTTTTCCGCTTTGACTTTTGGGTTCATCTATAGCAGCCTTCTTTTGAACCTTGTCAACCTCTGCATCGCCGTTCTTTACTGGAACAGCTTCTCCACTCGGGGTTTCTCTTTTTTCTTCAGTATAATCTGTAGTAGATTTCTCATCTCCGTGAATTTGCTTTAATACTTGTGCTTCAAGATGATCATCAGCTCCTTCTTCGTTCACTGGTTTGGTAGAATAAGGCAACTCGTATCTCTCGTAAATTTCATCAAAAAAGTTCAAGTAATCCCAAGCCGTGCTCCTCGGAGGCGGAGGTGGAGGTGTTTTCCAGCCCGAGCCATTGATTTCTCTGCTTTGGTTCGTATTAGCGTGATAATCATGATTAGACAAAGGATATGATGTTAAGAACCCCTGATTAAGACAGCTTATATGGATTTCGTTAATATATTTACTAAAATCTTCGCCCGACTCTTCCTCTTCCGAATCAGTATCGAATTGAATATGCGAATCTGAGTTAGAACTCGAAAAAGAATGGTCAGGCGAGGACAGCGGCGAACGTAGCTTCGGCGGCTTCTCGGTGGAGAAAGCGGAGTCATCGCCGGACGAAGATTTGAGACATTGATCGAAGAAATGGTGGAGAGCAGGGCCCACAGTCTTGAGCGACTGCATGTATGCTATGTGTGCATCGGCAAGGGCGTAGCTTTGCTGGAGAGCGTCCTGGAGGAAGTTACAGCGGTCGCGGCACAAACAGACCGCCGGTAGCTGGTCGAGTTTCGAGGTTACGCAACCCATGGAAACCGATCACTTGAACCCAAAATAACGATGAAGATTTTCGAGGTCCCAGTTTCTTTTTGCTAATAAAATCTTTCTTCAAGTAACGGCAACGGCTCTTGGGAAGCAGAAATTGAAAACGGAGATTAATGGAGGCTGAGGCTGCCGTTACCAATTGTTCTCCAATTTTGTGGCGCATTTAAGATGCATCTTTACTGTGTGGTAGGAACAATGAAGAAAAACAAAATGAAGTAAAGGACTGGGAACCACCAAAGCAGTCGAGTGGGTTTTTATACAAATGGAAAGAGTGGCGGCATAAGCATAACGTCTCTTTGATGTTTTCCTATTCTTGCACCGGTGGTCCTACTGCTTTCAATCCTCATATTTTATAAAATTTACATATTAGTTCAATTATACATTATGCATATAAAGAAATAGAATTATACATGTCCATGTAAAATTTAAAATGAGGAATCAAGTCCATGTCCATCATGGGGATTTACTCCACTGGATGTGGAACTACACCCCAACAAAATCTTTAACTTATTATCCGGAGATGGACCTAAGGGGTGTTGGGTGTGGTCGTACTCCTTAAAATTTTTAAATTCTCTCATATTTTAGATTTTTTTATATTTCATATTGCTTATCTAATTTCGTATTCCCTAAAATTTTATAACTCTGCACCCCCTAAATCTTTATTAAAACCTTTTAAGTTTGCACACCCTAATATAAATTTTGCATCCGTACTTGTTATTATCCCATCTCTTTCTTCTCTATTTTAGTTTATTTCTTAAAAGTGAAGAAATGGGTGGAGGGCATGACCCTCATTTTCATCCCAAGCTTTTTTACATGATCCTAATTCCTATGAAAGCCAATCCTTTTTGCTGGTGCCCTTATATATATGTTAGCCGAAGATAAGTTCTTTTAACGTGTCATTGCATGCCATCACATTCATTTTCAGAACCTAAGTGAACAAATCAAGGGAAGCGAAAGTGCTTTTGTCCCTCGTAAACTCTGACGATGATGTTTTAGCCTTTTCATGCTTTAAAACACCCCCTTCCTCCCTATCTTGTACTTCTGTAAGGGGTCACTGCCCAGCAATTCCTCCTTTTTTTTTAAAAAAAAAAAATGGTATCAGAATTTATCTCATTCGGAAAATTATTTAGGATAATTGGATATCATAGCGACAAATGAAAGTGAATGATTATGTTGTTCGATGCAAACTCAAAGTGGAAATATGCCAATGTAATGTTCCTTTATTCTTCAAGCTTGGAAAATGGAAATAAGGGCCACCGGGATTAGAGCCTCACAATCAGAGGGAAACTATTTTGAATTTGCAGCGATGTCAACGTGCACGGGAGGAGCTGGCTGTCCCCCTTGAGCTTACTATGTACCATGTTGGGTGCACTATTTAGTGGTCCTTTTCCTTTTTATACTGTATATGGCCTAAAAAGAATTAAAGCACTTGAATTATTGTCACTTTTCTTTGTCTCAACTTGGAATTATTTCATGCCTTAAACGGCTTTAACCCCATTTATGGAAATTCAGTGTTTTTGCCCTTTTTAAAAAAAATTAATGTCGAATTCAGTAGGAAAATACATTACATTTGTAATAAAAAATTTAGATTTAAACATAACAACTATTATTAGTAAAATAAATAATAGTAAATATCGAATATAAAGTATAAAACGAGCATAAATATATAACTTTTGAGAGAAAAAATAAAACATTAAATAATTGGGGTTGAACCAAGTCTACTTTCTCAGCCGAAGGACAAAATTGAAGCCCAAAGCTTGGTTTATTGGGTGAGTAAGGTCCACCTTCTTTGGTCACTAAGGGGTTGTTTGGTTTATAGAATATGAGACTATCAGGGGAATGTAATCCTCATTTCTCCATTTGATTGGCCGGTAATCCTATTCTCCGGTAATCTTTTATTCCCAACAGTGGATTTTTTTTGGTATATTACCGGGAATGTGATTAACCCCTCTTCCCTTAGGTATTGTTAGATTACCGGAGTTTTAGACTAAAATGCTCTTAAAATTTTTTTCTTCAAAAATATATTTTTTCTGTCGTTGAATAAAAAAAATTATTCGAAGGTTAAATTATAAATTTATACTTAAACTATTTTAGATTTATAAAAAGTCCATAATTAGAATTTTATATGAAGTTCAAGGGTTAAAATAAAATTTTACCATTTTATTAAATCTATTTATCTTTTCAATTTTGTAAAAAATATATATATATATAAATTTTATGAATTTAAAAATTTTAAATAAAATATATAAATTAATTATAGTAAAATTATAGTAGAATTCAACTTGTTAAAAAAATAAATATATAATAAGGACAATTTGGTAAAATATACATTCTAATAATCTTTTATTCCTTTAACCAAACACGATAATATTACATTTTTGTTGAATGAACCAAACACAAAATACAACATTCTCAGTAATTATATTCTCCGGTAATATTTTATTCTCACTGATAACCTTACATTCCGTGAACCAAAAACACCCTAATTAGAGTTTATATGATTTTTAACATAGGTTCAGGTGCGGTCCTTTTTCCCTTTTATTATTTGCCCATTTGTAGTCTAATAATTCATCTATTTATCGTCAATGAAAAAAAGATTGTTTTATTGATGCGAAAAGTCGTACAACATGAGGAAGGAAGTTATACCATATTGATCCAACAGAGGTGAAAGCGAAACGTCGGCCACAAATTTTCAGTGATGACTGCAACTACAACATTATTCCTACAAAACTTGAAATGATGGGTCCCTCAAGACATTATACATGTCTTCTCGTGGCCATGTAAACAAGTTTTGTAATGAAAGACAAATCAAATTTCCAATTATTGACATGGACATAATAGAAATGTTTCAGTTCATGAATATCTCAATTAATGTCACGTCTGTTGCATTATCTGTGAGATCAAGATAATCGAGACCAACCAAGGGACCACCGATGTCCAATTAGGTATTGGCCATGTATGATCTTCATACTTTGCTTTTACCGGGAAAGCTAAGTTCTGACCAGAAATCCGCTGTCAGTGGCGGTGGAGAATCTAAAATTTCTCAGACAAGATGTAGGGAATCGAAGCAGCTCCAATTATTTGCACAATTATATAGATTTATCATCTCGTATTTCATTTATAAGGCAACATAATATCGAGCCGATCGAATGATCGATGAAGGAAATGAATAGTAATTTCATCTCTACCTGGTGAGAGTATTAAGCAGTGAAACCCTAGTGTTTATTAGACTCCTTAAAGCTTTGTCGTTGCCACTTTCGATATCAGCAATGTGTTGCGGAAGACGGTTATCGGATAGAGCTAAATCGCAATTGATAATTTGAGAAAATAAAAATGAAAATAAAAGAGATACAAAATTTACGTTGAAAACCCCTAAATAATATAGGGTAAAAACCACGGACAACGATAGAAGAATTTTACTATGAGAAAAATAGGAATTACAACCTCTCTCGATCTACCAAGGAGAAAACAATGATAATTCTCTCTTGATAAAAATGAGAAAACAACTCTAAAAAAACTCTCTAAATTCTCTCTAGTATTGGAAGAAAGCTAGAAAGTTTTGGGATGGTTTTGAAGCTAATTTTGGTGCATTTATTGTGCAGACTTTCCATCGAAATTTGCCATCAATTTGGCCACTTCTATGTTGACTTTTCAACAATCTCCCACTTGAAGATTTGATTGTAACAATCATATCTTCACACCATTCTTTCTACCTTATACATTTATGTTGCTTACGTCTCTGACAAGCCACAGGAGGATCGACACCAGGTAAATTTATCGGTATTAATCGCCTTCGTCATGAAATCTGCTATATTGTCTTTGGTATGGATCTTCTGCATATCTACCGTCCCTTCTTCCACATTTTCACGAATGAAATGGTATTGAACTCGTATGTGCTTTGTCCTTGAATGAAATGTTGGATTCCTTGCTAGATACAAGGCACTTTAACTGTCACAAAACAGAGAGACATACTCTTGATTGCGTCCAAGCTCCTCCAATAGCATCTTCAACCAAATTGCTTCTTTACTGGCATGTGTAGCTGCTACATATTCTGCTTATGTTGTGGACGTAGCCACAACTGACTACAATTTTGAAACCCAGCTTACAACTCCACCAGCAATTTTGAACACATATCCTGTAGTAGATTTGCTTTTATCCAAATCCCCTGCATAGTCAGAATCTACATACTCATTTATTAGTAAGTTTGATCCTCCGTAACATAATGCAACATTTGAGGTCCCTTTGATGTATCTCAGGATCCTCTTTACTGTATTCCAATGCTCTTTGTCTAGATTCGCCATGTACCGACTAACCACTCCCACTGCTTGTGTAATGTTTGGTCTTGTGCATATCATAGCGAACATTAAACTTCCCATTGCCGATGCATACGGTACTCGAGATATCTCCATCCTCTATTCTTCACTGCTAGGACTCATACTGTAGGATAATTTGAAGTTAATAGGAAGAGGGGTAGAAATTGGCTTACAATCTTGCATGCTGAATCATGACAAGATCTTCTTCAAGTAATTCTTTTGTGAAAGTCAAATCTTCATATTACTTCTGTCTCGGTCAATTTGCATCCCTAGAATCTTGTTTGTTGATCCCAAGTCCTTCATTTCAAATTCCCTAGCCAACTGTGCCTTTAATTCTTCAATATGATCTTTGTTGGGTCCTGCAACCAACATGTCATCCACATACAACAGTAATATAACAAAATCGTTATCACCAGACCTCTTGAAATAAGCACAAGGGTCTGCATTAAGTCTGTTGTACCCAAGGCACATAATGAAAGAATCAAATCTCTTATACCAACACATCGGCGCCTGCTTTAGACCGTATAAAGATTTGTTCAACCTGCAAACTAAGTTCTTATTTTCTTTTTCTTCAAAACCTTCAGGCTGGAGCATATAAATCTCTTCTTCAAGATTTCCATGAAGAAAAGTTGTTTTAACATCTAGCTACTCTATATGTAAGTTCAATGTAGCACACATTACCAAAACTACTCGAATTATTGTTAGTCGAACCACAGGAGAAAATATTTCATTGAAATCAATACATTCTTTTTGAGCATATCCTTTGACCACCAGTCTTGCACGATACCTCTCAACTTGATCGTCACCATTTCACTTGATTTTGAAGACCTATTTGTTACCAATTGACTTCCTTCCTTGTGGTAGTGGCACAAGGTCTCATGTATTATTTTTATGAAGGGCTTCGATTTCTTCTTGCATCGCCACCATCCACAGTGAAGCATCTGAGTTGTTTATTGTCTCCTCATATGTTGATAGCT